TACACATGTGTTAAGACTTACAGAATTTGTACATCCAAAGAGGCCTCAATTTTGTATATGTTAATTTTTAAAATTATATTAAAAATATGAATTTTCTTGGCAAAAGTGAATGGTACCCAATTTTATTATTCTGTTCTCGCATTGCTATAAAGAAATACCTGAGACTGGGTAATTTATAAAGCAGAGAGATTTAATTGGCTTGTGACTCTGCAGGCTGTAGAGGAAGCACAGCAGGATCTGGTTCTGGTGAGGCCTCAGGGAACTTACAGTCATGGCAGAAGGCGAAGGGGGAGCCAGCATGTTGCCGTGTCTCCATGGCCAGAGCAGGAGAAACAAAAAGGTTGGGGGTACAGGGGGTAGGTGCTACACACTGTTAAACAACCAGATCTCACAGTAACTCACTCACGCAGTATCACAAGAACAGTACCGAGGAGATGTTGTTAACTCATTCATGAGAACTCCGCGCCTATGCTCCAGTCACCTCCCACCAGGCCCCACCTCTAACATTGGGAATTAATTACAATTTGACATGAGATTTGTGCAGGGACACCGATCCAAACCATATCACCGATATTCTTCTGATTGCCTATTGATTAACCAGATCAGTACTGTCCAGTATAACTTTCTGAGATGATGAAAATGTTGTCTATCTGCTCCGTCCAGCATCGTAAATACTAGTTACATGTAGCTATTGAGCACTTGTAATAATATTTTATTATTATTTTAAATATTAGGAACTAACAATATTAGTTCCTAATTTTTGGTTAATTTAAATAAAATTAAATATGAGTTCCTCAGAAAGTTGGATACCACACTGTGGCATAAACTTTTTCTGCCCTAAGTTCTTATAATCAATATTCTAAGAAGACAAGGAAGGAAAAGATGAAAGTAATAGGAGAAAAACTGAGAGCTTATGATTTTTTAGTTAAAAATCCAGATTCTAAATGTATTGTTAGGTCTTATATTTCAGGTCTTATGTTAGTTCCTCGGTAACTAATATTTTAGACCTGGTCATGCCGAGTTCACCTTTGTGATGAGAATGTTTGGCCAGTGTTATTCCTGAGGAACTAATATTTTAATTTTATTTAATTTAAGTTAACTTATAATTAAAGAGCCACACACATCTAGTAGCTACTCGATTTGACAGCACAAATATTGATGACTGTATAATCACTGTGATCTTAGAAAACAAATTATGTTATTTTTATTCATTCAGAGAGATAAATTATGACGAGTTTTTACTTTTTGACATCAGGATTTTATGACATTTTCTAGCTTTATAAACAAAAATGCATGATCCAACTTCCATGAGGTGATATAGGGAGGTGATACTGAGGACGAGGCTAATGTACATTAAAGATGTTAGTGGGAGTGTAGAAGTTAGTGATTGTGATACGAAAGGTATAGGGGAGACCAAAGCCCAAATAACGTTTATTTTTAAGCCAGCGAATATTGGGTTGTTTTTGGGTGCTGAAAGTAACTATACTTTCACCAGGTGAACACAACAGTCCGGATCCTGTTGTCATCCTTGTCAGTAGGGACAGAGGTGGACATTAGGAGCCTGTCCCCGGATGCGGAGGTGTCAGGAAAGCAGCCCTTGGAAGGCCCCTGCAAACCCCCCTGAACTGGTGTTCCATTGTGGCTTGCCCCTTCCAGCTGGTGCCATTGGGGACTGTGAGAAGTACAAATTCAGCCTGGTCATGCCAAGTTCAGCCTTGTGATGAGAATGTTTGGTCAGTATTTCTTTACTTTACACTCTGTCTGGACTTAGTTTGGAGTGATTTTTTTCCCTCTTATTCGTAGTTTTTTTTTTTAGAAGTATTGTGATACTTTCTTTTCATGTATGTTTACTTTTCATTCCTCACTTAATTGGAAGCACCTTGAGGTCAGAGGTTGATTCTGTTGCTATGTCTGCTTTGCAAAAATATGGCAGCCTTTGCAACCTTCATATTTTTTTCCCCGATTCCATCTTGCAGAGAAGGAATGCAACCCACAGAGAGGATAACTTTGTTCTAATTAAATAACCCGGTGACAAAGTAACTCAGTTTCTCAGCTCTTTGACCTTCTAACTAATTCCAGCTAAAAGAGCTCTAGGACTCATTGGCGGTATATGTTTAAAGCAACAGAAATACTGATGATAGTTTTGAAAACTAATTGGGAAATGCCATTTTAGGGCATATTTTTAGATGTAGTTGTTGTTTCTCAAATTGGGGGCATATTTGTCCCAAGGGATTGGGGCCATACTCTGGCAGGTTTATACAACCTCCAGATAAATGTGGATGGTCTCCCTAAGGGGTCAGTTCACTTGTACATTTTGGAAAGTAATATTGAATGGTGTTCATTGTAAACAAAGTTTTGAACTTTTGTTATTAGGACAATCAGGGGTCTATCAAAGAGTAGAATGCATAGACTGTGTGAATTTCAGGGCGTCTTCACAGTAGAGTCTAACTGTTCTTCCTCTGCATATTGGGGGCTTCTGTGGGCCTCCACCATTATCCTCTGCAGTGTAAATACAGGCACTAGATAGAAACGTCTGAGATATACTCAGGCGTGTTTTAACCCAGTAGGTTGGAAAGAAATAGTCCATAAATCCAAATGCTATGTAATAAAATTGTAATGGAGAAGGGCAACATTTCATTTTTCTGTGCTGTCTCATTGTTTTCTTATTGTTTAATGTTAAAACAGCAATTTAGAGTCTGGCTTTTTAACTGAAAAATCATAAGCTCCTCAGTTTTCCCTCATTTTACTTTCATCTTTTCCTTACGTGTCTTCTCTGGATATTGATTAGACAAATTTAGGGCAGAAAAATAGTTTATACCATAATGTGGTATGGAAAACATTGGATATCTGCACACTTAATGTATAATTTTTTATCCAAAGTGCACCTGGGGCTGGGCGCAGTGGCTCACGTCTGTAATCCCAGCACTTTGGGAGGCTGAGGCAGGAGAATCACTTGAACCCAGGAGGTAGAGAGGTTGCAGTGAGCTAAGATTGCGCCACTGCACCCCAGCCTGGGCAACAGAGCGAGACTCCGTCTCAAACAAAACAAAACACAACACAAAGTGCATCTGGAAAAGCCTTAGAGTTGACTTTTCTTTTAATATATTTTACAAGGAGGTGTTGTGGAGTAACGGAGGGACACCAACACTGAGAATCAGAGGACCTCAGTGCTAGTTCTGGTTTTGCCAGTAAATCTTTGCAACCTGGGCAAGTCACCTTCCCACTTTGGGCTCTAGGATTATATTCAATCAAGTGATGATGTACTAGACGTCTTTCCGTGTCTCCTCCAGCTCTCACCTGCACTCATTCAGTGTTCCCAATCCTATGAGAATTGACTGATCCAAAGACTTTTGAGAATTTAAGTAACAGAATAGCAATGTTCTTCACTTCATGTTCATAGTGATGCTCCCTAATACTTGTAAGAACACCAAGTGTACCTTTTTAAATATTTAGTTTTCTTGCATATGCAGTGCAAGGAAATCTTACCCAATTTAATTGAAATGGTTTCTTCCACCATTACAAATATGCACTTAAACGTAGTCAATCCTGGGCTATAAAGGCCCTGAAAATGTAGGAACTTTCTGTTTTCCAAACTGCTTTTGTTGAGTTTTTAATATGTGTCTTTTTTAAAAAAAATCAATTTTATGCAACTAAGAAAGTCTAATCTGTTATTGGTGCCCAGGGGTTTTTGTTTAGAGAATTTCTCCTCTTCCCTTTATTTCTCAGTTTGCGCTAATATTCTACCCTGGGCACTATTCCAAATGTCAGGCTACTGCTAGAGCACAGATAGTCTTTTCGATAGATGCTGAGGAGGTAGTGTTAGGTGCGTTGTAAAACTCCTAGAAATGCATTTCTGATAGAATTCCAGGATTTCATGTTGGAAATGTCGGATAGTACTTTTGTGAAACAGGAAAGTTATCTATAATTTTTATAAGCACCTCTCTCTGCTTCTCTCTGTTCCCTGGTTGAGCACTCTCCATCTTGTCCACTCTCTCACAGTAGGCTTTTACCTTGCCTCAGTAATTATCTTTTCCTTTGTATGAATCCTATACCCTGTTGCTTGCATAACCTAAACATTCAGCATGAGGAACATCTCCCCTGTAGAAACCTTTAATGCCATTCTCCATGTATTTAATGTTATCTTTATCCCTGCCTGACTGACTCTTTGGCCTCGTTGCTACCAGTCTCCTTCATAGAATCCCTTCAACCCAGCCATGCTGAATCTACCACCAGCCACTCTCCGAAACATCTTAGACTGTCTAACCACATCGTCTCTGTTCATACTGCCTTGCTGCCTGGAAAGCCACTCTCATCTTTCCTCTTCTCACCCCTTTACTCGCCCATCCTACGGGGCCGCCTCAGTGCCTCTTCCTTCCTGAAGCACCTCTCAGTTCCCTCCATGCTTCCTTGATGGCGCTTTTCTCATATCAGAAATAACCATCTTTCTTTATTCTCCTGGTCCTCTTTCCCTCTTTGCCTTGAATGACACAGATGCTGATGTTGAACAATGAATATAGGAGTGGTACCCATTCATCGTTACTCTGACCTCAGCCATACGCTAGGATCTCATGTGCTGTATTTTATAAGTGTGTTTTGACTCAAAAGGAGGTTTAGTGGAATATTGTCACAGACTAGGATTGTTTTCTCCCCGATTGGTGCAGTCTTGAAAAGGGGAGAGAATCTTGACACCACAGACTTCTGAGCTGTGATAGGAGGCCGAGAAGTCCCTGGGGGAAGCCACGTCTGACCATATTGTCAGCATCCCTTCCCTCCTGGGAGCCGCCATGAACTTATAAATGTTTTTGGAGAATGGAGGTGTCATGCTTCTTTGGGAGGAGACTTACTAAGGGCCATCTAGCAAATGCCAAGTGAAATTCATTGCAAATATAAAATGGGCCATTTTCCTATCCATTAAAGACTGTTCTTTAAATTTTTTTTTTTTGATTAATTAATTTTTAGAGACAGGATCTTGCTGTCTTTCCCAGGCCTGAAGTGCAGTGGTGCAATCATAACTCACTGCAGCCTTGAACTCCTGCCCTCAAGTGATCTTCCTGCCTCCCAAAGTGCTGGGATTACAGGCATGAGCCACCATGTGCCACATTCTGAATCTGACCTTGGACCACCTCTCTTACCTCCTCTTCCTCTACTTCCCAGTAATGAACCCTCAGCCCCAGGCAGGCCCGCCTGCCTTATGAACCCCACCTCCCTCCCATGCACACCTCCACACCTTGTCCATGCTTCCTGTCTGCAGGTCAGTCCTCTCCTTCCTTCAGCATAGATTTAGGGTCTGCTGTTGGCTAGGCACTTTCAGGGATATATCTGCAAACGCAAAACATGCAAAAAACATCCCTGCTCACGGCGCTTATGTTATGACATATGGGCTGTGCTTTCTCTTTTCTTTCACCTGTCCAGATTCTAGAACAAGTTTGCCTTTCCCTGGAAGCCATTGCTGACTGTTTTGACCCTGGTTCTTTTCTTCAGAATTCTTGGGGGCACTGGTTACCTGTTCCTCCCCTTTGAAATACACTGCCTTGTATTTTTGCAGTTTTTATATGTGAGTATCTTGCCTCTTCAAGTATATCTTAAGCTTCTTGAAGGCAGACACCATGTCATTTGTCCATGAGAGAGTGTGCACCAAGGTCCCTATACTGCATGTGTTCAAGACCTTAAAGATTTAAATTCCCAAACTGACCGTAGGACTTTGCAATTAGTCACCTGATAAATATTTTTAATTGATTTAATGATATTTATTGCTCTCTGCTTTTTCAAGTGGAGCAGCTCTAAGAGCATGTGAGACCATTAGTCATCAAGCATTTATTAAGATCCTCCGTGTGTCACTATGTGGCGCTACTATTTAATCTACTGCCAAGGACGCAGGCAAGTGCCAAGCACAACTTCTGCCCACACCTCATCAACTGAGCAAATCACCTCTGCGGTCCTCTATGTGATGTTTGTAAATCTTTACTGTAACACCGAAGCTGTTACTCAAAGATGCAAGAGGCACGGGGCAAGGAGGAGGACTGCTAATGGCGGCTGCGTGTGATTCTTGAGCCCATCTTGCTTTCAGACACCAAGATCTAAAGCATCAGCAGACCTTTCTTGTCTTTATTTCTCGGTAGAGGCCAATGGTGTCCATTATGAAACCCATCGTACTCTCAGTAGGGCAGCAAGATGAGCTTGTGGTGGTTTTGCCTGACCATATATACTTTTTCCCATGGTCCTTCAATAAAAGTCTGCTGGGGGGCAGTCGTCAGGGGTCATAGACCCCAGTAGAGGCAATTCCTACGGGAGACCCCACCTGTGAACTTACCTCATTGGTCCGTGTGCCAAGTAAGCAGATTGGCTTCAGTTTAAATTAAAAAATTGAGATATAGGTTTTAACATTTTTTGTTTACAGTGGCTTTTTTACTCTAATAATCAAGAGGTAGCACATGTTGTTGAAAGAACAGACTTTCAACAGCAGTGGTTGTTGAAGATGATGTAGAAAGTCTGTAGAACAGCATACATAAAAAGGTAAAAGGTAAAATTGACCTTCAGTGGCTGAAAGAACAGACTCGAGAGCCAGCTGCCTTGGGTTCAAATCCTGTCTCTGCCGTTTACCAGCTCTACGAGCTTCGGGAAGACAGTTCCCCTCTTTAGGTGGGGATCACCCCAGTACTTAACTTCCAGAGTCCTTCTGAAGATTATGTGAGTTTCTAAATACAGACATACTAGGCCCATATATAGATGAAAACATGCATGCTTGGATATTAGAAATTATGACTACATTTTTATTTGTACATTCTCATCCCTTTTCTTCGAGTATTTGGATTTTTTTTTTTTCTTTCTCCACATATTTAACCTTTCGTAGATTATAGAAGAAACTTGTGTCTTTAACTGTCAGGAAGTGGTGCAGTGACCCAGGGCTTCCCAGGAGGCTCTTACATTGCTAGGACTACAGATATGTCTATTTAGATCGGAATTTGTAATACATTTGTTCTATGCGTTCATCATCGCATTCTTAAGGTGCGTGTGCTTATTAGGCACGCTGTCTGACCTCACAGTGATCAGACCAAGCCCCACAGGAATGGGCTGGATTGCGTCAGTTTAGTTTGGGTGGATTTGTAACCAACGACACAGCCACACTTAAAGAGGTTTGACGAAAGGTGAGTGACTTTGGTTGGAGGCCCTGGTGCTGGGCCCTAGGCTCCATCTGTGGCATGGATGAGAAGCTACTGGCTTATCAAAGAGGAGAGAAAATCATACACTAGAAAGGAAAATCAAGACTGTATTTGGTTAAATAAGTGGAGAAAGAAAAAAAAAAAACAAATACTTGAAGAAAAGGGATGAGAACATATAATAAAAATGTAGTCATAATTTCTAATATCCAAACATGTATGTTTTCTTCTATATATGGCCTATTATGTCCTTACATGCTTCTGATCAAGCATACAAGGTAAAATTGATGAGGCTGTTAAAAAGTGCAGCAGTAGCCGCTGGTGTGGAACACATTCTCAAGGGGGTCACAGGGTGATAGTCCAGGACAGGGAGGACATAGTGTCACAGGGAGGACTCAGCAGGAGGATGACACATCATCTGAGGGAAATGGATACACCAGACCAGAGCAAAGGGGGGACCCCAGGAGGGCAGAGGATGTGAAAAGCGACAGGCGGTTGAGGGCATGGAAGACGTTTTATTTAATAACATTCAAAGCAAGCATCTCAGTGGATCAGTAGATGAATATATAGTCTGCGTGCCTGCCAAGTGTCCCAAACTCTAGGCAACTAGAGAAGAGCTGAGCTGGGCACGGGGACCCGGTTAGTGTTTGTAGCTGTCAGATGAGTGATGGCGCACAAGAGGGTTACACATTTTGTAGCCTCCCAAGGACAGAATGGGTGTCCCTGTGCAGGGGTGAGAAGAGACGCTGATTTGGACTCAACTCGCAGGGGGGCCTTTGCCGGAGCCTGAGCTCTGTGGGTGTAGGTTTTGGAGGACAGGCTGAATCACCCGAGTCAGGAGAGAATAGGATGCTTCCAGGATTTTAGCCTGGAGACCCACATGGGGACCCCTGTAACTCTGAGTTTCAGGGGTGCCTTACGAACAGCTTCAGTGCATTTCCCGTCTTTGCTGGCACCCTACATTTTGTGCCCCTGGTAGCTGAGCTGCTGAATTCATGAGGCTGTGGGAGAATTTGCTGCACAGTCATCTGCCACCCACCTCTATGGGTTTCTGAGAATGGGATAATTTTTTGGTTACCTGGATCCTGAGTGGAGGCAGCAAGATGTGCCTGTTTTGATGTTACTGCGTTTGAAAGAGTTTGGCAGTAGCAGTTCCACTGCCGTGGGATTCGTTTCCTTAGCCTCTCTGACTCCATTTTTCTCTGGGTTTTATGTGGCTGCTCTACTCCTTCCATTCTGTCCTCTCTCTCAAGTGCCGCCCCCGTTTTCCTCCGGAGATGTGTACGTGTTGCTTCTTGCACTCTAAATAAAGACTAAATGTTTTCTCTGCTGGCATAAGTTCCCCTGTGTGTGTGTGTGTGTCGGTGTGTAAATGCATGTCCACAGGTGAGCGTGGCACCCATAGTGCAATGAAAACGACATTTTTATGCAGATGCGTGGTTCATTTTCACCTTGCTGATCTTAGCCGTAGGCATTTTTAAGAAAAGACGGAGGAAACAGCCACCCCCCAAATCCCATGAATCCTGCTTCTCGGTGCGATTGGAGTTGTGTTGTAAGCGCAGGAGAGGCTCCTGCTGAGAGCGAGTTCCTGACATAGTGACCTCATTCCCAACGCCGCCCTCCTCGCAGCGGCAGAAGCCGCGCTGGCTGGTGCTGGGCGAGCTCCGCCGCTGCCCGGACCGCGAGCCTGACGGCTGTGTGTCGGGAATAGAGAGACCCAGGCTTGCAAAGACTTGCACGGCGACTGGAATTTGTGACAAATAGCTCAGTGCAGCTAAACTTTGATACAGTGTGCAGTAGAACCGCCTGTTACACACAAGGGAGGTGCGTCCTTCGTCACAATGCAAAGCCAGCCTTAACACAAAAATAGGAAAATGTGGCAGGTCTCTAATTACGGACTGGTGAGTATATGACGCCAGATCAATTTTAATGTGTGTGTTCTCTCTTCAAGCATCTGGAGGTATGTGCCCTTTTTACCTTTTTCATGATTAAAAATAGGAGTTGGTGCTAATGCGTGGGAGGGGACCTGGGCCCCTAGAGAGGAGAATGTGCCCCTCGCCACCCCTCGCCTGGGGTACATTCCGACCTCGCGTCTCCGCACTGCACAGACAAAGGAGCCTGCACAGACAAACAGAGGCTGTAGCTTTTCTTGGAGCGATGACTCATTTCAGTTCACAAAGGATTCTGGGCAGGGCAGTGAGAAGTCAGGTTGGCTGATCCATCCCTGTGACTTCACTTTGCAGAGAACAAGCAGAAGAGGAGTGACACTGCAGATTCCGAGGCATTGCAGTGGGATGTTGGCTCAGCAAGTGGCTGTGATGTATGGGATAGGCATGGAACAGGATTCCAGCTGTTCCGTGCAAATAAGATAAAAGAATGGTAAAGAGGATTCCTTTTTTCTTCCCCTCCTCAAAACGTTACCAGCAAAGTACATTCACAAAGCCTTTTTAAGGTGCCTTTTGCCAGCTTTTGAACTGAACTTGTACCAGTACCTCAAGCCCTGAATTGTAAGAAGAGCTGAGAGTTCTGGAACTCATTTTTAAAAAGTAGATCTACGAAGGTAAAGTACCAGATTCCTGTCGTGTTCCACAGGCCCTCAGTAGCCAATCTGAAATGCTCATTTAGGATACTATGACTTGAAAGTTTACTCTTTCTTCTTATTCCAGATTCTAGGACGTCCGTTTCTGTTACTGGCTCCTTCTTGTGCTTGGATGCAACCCCCTAGCATGCGCCAGGCTTTAGCGTCAACGCTACCTGGGGGATGGAGCCAGTCCAGAAAGGGTCAGGTAGGTTCCCCTGCTTTTATTTCCAGAGTTGTTGTGTGCAAAGGAATATGGTGAAATGTCGGCACCACCTGTGAAGAGGGTGCACAGCCCTCTGAAAAGTCTTGCTGTTCTGCTCTTCCCCCAGCCTCAGTCTTAGGCAGTCCAGGTCCTCCCACTGTGGGCTGCTCACCACACACGACCTCACCAGCACGGGTCATGCCAGAGCTGCTCACGGGGACCGAGAAGTCCACAGCAGCAGGATTTGCCAATAGGAAATAATCAGACTGCCCCAGATTTCCCTCAGCTATATATCTGTCTCGCTCGCTGCTCTGAGGGAGGCATTCAGTAAATAGTATTTGACATTTTTTTTCTGGGGATTTTTTTTTTTTTTTTTGGTTTGGTTTTGTTTTATTTTTTGAGACAGAGTTTTGCTCTTGTTGCCCAGGCTGGAGTGCAATGGTGCAATCTCGGCTCACCGCAACCTCTGCTTCCTGGGTTCAAGCAGTTCTCCTGCCTCAGCCTCCTGAGTAGCTAGGATTACAGGCATGCACCACCACGTCCAGCTAATTTTGTATTTTTAGTAGGGACAAGTTTTCTCCATGTTGGTCAGGCTGGTCTCGAACTCCTGACCTCTGTTGATCTGCCTGCCTTGGCCTCCCAAAGTGCTGGGATTACAGGCATGAGCCACTGTGCCCGGCCTTGACATTTTTTCTTACCAATTAATATAGAGTGCCTGAAATTTTGTGTACTGTTTGGCCTGTTAATCTACATGCAATGCACTAAAATCCAAGAAAGCCTGATTTATGTGCCCAGGGACTGTTTCCAAGACTAACATCATATTGAGGCTGCTATTAACTACTAAGGAAGTAAGCATATTTCATCATAGTCTGCTTTAGGATTCAGATTATGACAGAGCTGTTTTCTTACAACATCCATGGGCTTTTCACACAAAAGCTTTTTTAAAAAACATGACAACAAAATGGTAAATTTTGGTCCTCAAAAGTACATTACATGCTTCATTTCCAAAGTAAGACTTGGCACATCTGAAAGCATGGCTTTACCACCTCATCACATGGATGGTTTTAGTACTGTTAAAGATATTTCTGAGAGTGGTGAATCCCATATGTAATTGGTAAGAATTTTTAGAACATTTTTAAAGGCAGATGTTCAAGACCCCTTGAACATCTTTCTCTTTGCAGTCACATCCATCCCATAGCTCACCCTCTCACAGAAGAAAAGAAAGCATCTTTCCTTTCTTCATTGTCAGAGGTCTCTTCTTTCTGCATAGCAGTTTATATCTTCAGAGCAATGTTGAGGGTGCTGAGTCAGGTTTAAAGGATGTTTGGTCAGAAAAAACAGAAGCGTGGTATGTTGCAAATACAGTTCCATCATGTCCTCACACCCATCAATTCTACCCATCCTTAAAGACCTGTTCGAAATCTCTCTCCCCTGGAAAGTTCTCCCTAATCATCCCAACAAGAGGTCATTTCTAAATCCTCGAAACTTCTATTATAGAGTTAATTTTCTAGTCATTCATGTGTTTTCTTGCTATAGCTCTTCTAAGGGTGTTTTGAACAGCAGTGTGTATATTTCATGATTGTTTATATTTTCACACGTGTATATCTTATATTCCCACCTAAATTGTAATCTCTTTGAAGGCAGAGATCAAGATTTATGCTTTTTTCTGCTCTCTACATCTCCTAGCAGTTCCCTACACATGGAAACCTTTCAATAAATAGTTGAATAGGAAGAGGGGCAGTTTAAAAAGCAGGATTTTTTTGTTTTTGTTTTTAGTCATAGAGGGTCAGAATGATCTGGTTTTGCTAATTTTAAGCATCTTCATCTTCACAGGGTATATTCAGGCTAAGGCGGACCTCAGGAGTCATTCATACCACTCTAGACGTTGTGATGGTTCTTACCTTGAGGCAGTGTCACAGCCGGGAAAGCTACCTTACTCTGCTTGTAAAGGACTGTTACCGTTAAGGGCAAATGAGCATGTGAGGCCCTTAAATATGGACACTGATCACAGTTTACTTGAATTGTATTGGACAAGCCATCCTTAAGTTATAAGGAGTATGTGGAATTCAGGAAGTTCATGTGAAAGTCACTGTTTTGACTCCTACAGGACATTTTCCTTAGAAGAGAGCCAGAATGGTTACTAATAATTCAAGTCATATCAGAAATTTTTTAACTTCTAGTGTCACCGATTTTTAGTACTAACACTACTTATTTAAGTGCTTAGTTTCCTTTCCCTTTCTTAGGTAATGGATTGGCCCAACCTAAGTTTTGAAATAGGTCAACACCCTTTGATATCCTTGTAACTCTCTATCCACACTCCTTCCCATCTCCTAGTGCCTTTTTCTCTCCAAAGTCCCTAGTGTGATGCATGTTTGCACTCCCAGCCTGGAGATGCATCCCAAATGCTATGTATTCTGCATATCTGATTAACGTGATCTAGTATAAGATCACTTCATACTAGTGTAAGAAAGAACTCTGCACTCTTAACCTTCCCAAAGGCATTTTAGTGTTTTTAAAAAGGCTTATTTTTAGGACCAAACAAATTTTCCATTGGTAGAAATTCAAACACGGTAAATGAGTAAACTGAATAAATCTAGATGGGCTTGAGGAAGAATTTTTTTTTTTTTTTTTTTTTTTAATGGAGTCTTTCCTTGTTGCCCAGGCTGGAGTGCAGTGGCACGATCTTGGCTCACTGCAACCTCCGCCTCCCGGGTTCAAGTGATTCTCCTGCCTCAGCCTCCCAAGTAGCTGGGATTACAGGCATCTGCCACCATACCCTGCTAATTTTTGTATTTTTAATAGAGATGGGGTTTCTCCATGTTGGCCAGGCTGGTCTTGAACTCCTGACCTGAGGTGATCCACCCACCTCGGCCTCCCAAAGTGCTGGGATTACAAGCGTGAGCCACCATGCCCAACCAGGGAAGATATATTTAATACTAGCTACTATTTATTAAATATGTATTAGGTGTCGGGGACAGGGTAAGCACTCAACATCCATTATCTCATTTAATCCTCTCAGTGAGTCTACGAGGTAAACATCAGTATGTATACTTTACAAAAGAAGAAATTGAAACTCAAAAAATTAAATAATTTGCCCCAAATCACACAACCAATGAGGAGCAGAATTGGGCTCTGAACCTAAAGTTTTGACTACAAAGCCCATGGCCTTTACCACCATCTTGTAATGCTGAATTGAAAAGAGAAAAGTTACTTAATTGTACAGGGACTTGGAAGTTTCCTCTGTGTATCTGATCTGATCCCCCATCCTTTCTTTCATGCCTCTGAATTCTTACATAGGCCTTTCATAATGACCTCCATTGCAGTTGGAAGGGGTAAGAGGGTGTTCAGTGTTAGGGGGGTTGGTAGCAGTCAATCAGTATAATTTTGTTGTAATTTGGGAACTGTCAACCTGTCCATATTTGTAGTTTATTTAATTAGGCCTTCCTGTCCTATTACAATTATATTTTACAGAAATCAGTCCCACTACTGTTGTCATCCCTAAACTGATGAAGCAGAGAATACAAAGACTGAGAAATAACTCTGGTGATTCTAATGTAAAAGGAGGGAAAGTGAATGTGTAACCTAGAGTTGTTAGACTGATTTATAAGCCGAGGTTGGGAAATATCATCAGTGGAAATTGGAGCATCTAATGTCTAGTGTTAGGCCAGGTTATGCTGCAGAATGAACATGGAAGAGAAGTACAGGGTGGCTTAAAATAGGAATTTATGTTCTGTCCCATGTGATGCACTTAAGGAAAAGGAAGACGTCCTGTTACTCAGGTGCTCTTGTTGGTCAGGTGCTTTATAGAATTTCAGGACATCTGGGAGATTTTACTAATTGTTGTCATCTAGAACTGGTACTTCTTCATGATTTTATCCCTGTTGCTAAATGGCTTTAACTTCATTCTGGTTGAAGGACTGGAGCACAAGTGGCAGCTGGTGTTGGAAAACATCTTGTAAGCTAGCAGGGCCTTGCCTCTTCTTGTCTATGTATGTAGGACCTTTTGATTCTACACACGTTCGAGGACCTGCCATGTAAAAGCATTCAGCTAGGTTTTATTCCATGTGCCTAACACATACCACCCTGGACGCAGTTGATGGGTTATAGTGTGGAGCCTTAGCAAAGGCGTTAATTACGGAAGCCTCTGATTGGTCCCAGGGCTCATATTTCTATCCTACCTTTTCTGCTACGCATCTCTTGCAAATAGCTAAATGGTCCAATAAAAGTTTTAGTTTTATTAGTTGTTCCTATCAGAGATGTCAGGAATCACCTCTGGCGATGGGGAAGGTGGCTCTTGGCCAGGGCGCTCTCACCCACCCCTGCCCGTGGATGGCCCCTTTCTGCCTGACTCTCTACCGTTTCTGCCTTGTCTGTCTCTGCTTATTCTGTGATAACCTTTTTACCTCTAGTCAAATCTGAGTAACAAGAGCAATAGCTAATATGACTCACAAAAGGTTGCGAACTGGGAAGATCATGAGTTTCTTCTGTAGACCAATGAGCCAATTAATTCGTCACTTCACCTAGTGGTATCAGACAGACTGATCAGCACAAAGGCTCGGGTGATGTGGGGGACATTAACTCATTCTTTCTGGTGCCCTTAGCCACCGTGGTTACTGTTGTTTAACTCTACTCCCATTAGAAGTTTCTTAGTAAGTAATAGCTAATGGACACCAGTATTTCAGTATGATTGATGGGTGTCTTCTGTTTATGCTGTCTTTTGATTAAAATGATTTACTCAAATAATAGCTTAGGAATTGGACCTCTTTAAGATACCCATTAGGTGTTGAAGTAAAGCATTAGGAAACATTTAAAAAGTTGTTATAGAATCTCTAAATATTCTAAAATTCCTTTTCTATGCCGTTTCCTTCAGTTGACTATTGCCAACAGGCTCAGCCTTCAACTTTTGAAATCAGTGGCATTTGAAACAAACCTACAGTAAACTAGTAAAAGTGCCTTTTCATTGCCAGTTTTCTTCTGAATGTCAAATACCAACATTGGAAAGT